ACAGTCGGGGGCACTACACTACTGTACCACAATACCACACCACAACACTACCAAGATACCACAATACAGGGCATCTGGGCAGGACCTTGCCGTACAGTCGGGGGCACTACACTACTGTACCACAATACCACACCACAACACTACCAAGATACCACAATACAGGACGTCTGGGCAGGACCTTGCCGTACAGTCGGGGGCACTACACTACTGTACCACAATACCACACCACAACACTACCAAGATACCACAATACAGGGCATCTGGGTAGGACATTGCCGCACAGTCGGGGGCACCACACTGTACCACAATACCACACCACAACACTACCAAGATACCACAATACAGGACATCTGGGTAGGGCATTGCCGCACAGTCGGGGGCACCACACTGTACCACAATACCACACCACAACACTACCAAGATACCACAATACAGGACGTCTGGGCAGGACCTTGCTGTACAGTCGGGGGCACCACAGCACAATACCACACAACAACACTACTAAGATACCACAATACAGGGCATCTGGGCAGGACCTTGCCGTACAGTCGGGGGCACTACACTACTGTACCACAATACCACACCACAACACTACCAAGATACCACAATACAGGACGTCTGGGCAGGACCTTGCCGCACAGTTGGGGGCACTACACTACTGTACCACAATACAGGGCATCTGGGCAGGACCTTGCCGTACAGTCGGGGGCACTACACTACTGTACCACAATACCACACCACAACACTACCAAGATACCACAATACAGGACGTCTGGGCAGGACCTTGCCGCACAGTCGGGGGCACCACACTGTACCACAATACCACACCACAACACTACTAAGATACCACAATACAGGGCATCTGGGTAGGGCATTGCCGCACAGTCGGGGGCACCACACTGTACCACAATACCACACCACAACACTACCAAGATACCACAATACAGGACGTCTGGGCAGGACCTTGCCGCACAGTCGGGGGCACCACACTGTACCACAATACCACACCACAACACTACTAAGATACCACAATACAGGGCATCTGGGTAGGGCATTGCCGCACAGTCGGGGGCACCACACTCTACCACAATACCACACCACAACACTACCAAGATACCACAATACAGGACGTCTGGGCAGGACCTTGCCGTACAGTCGGGGCACCACACTACTGTACCACAATACCACACCACAACACTACCAAGATACCACAATACAGGGCATCTGGGCAGGACCTTGCCGTACAGTCGGGGCACCACATTACTGTACCACAATACTACACCACAACACCACCAAGATACCACAATACAGGGCATCTGGGCAGGACCTTGCCGCACAGTCGGGGGCACCACATTACTGTATTACAATCACACCACAACACTACCAAGATACCACAATACAGGGCATCTGGGCAGGACCTTGCCGCACAGTCGGGGGCACCACACTACTGTACCACAATCACACCACAACACTACCAAGATACCACAATACAGAGCATCTGGGCAGGACCTTGCCGCACAGTCGGGGGCACCACACTGCTGTACCACAATCACAACACTACCAAGATACCACAATACAGAGCATCTGGGCAGGACCTTGCCGCACAGTCGGGGGCACCACACTGCTGTACCACAATCACACCACAACACTACCAAGATACCACAATACAGAGCATCTGGGCAGGACCTTGCCGCACAGTCGGGGGCACCACACTAGGCCTACTGTACCACAATACCACACCACAACACTACCAAGATACCACAATACAGGGCATCTGGGTAGGACCTTGCCGCACAGTTGGGGGCACCACACTACTGTACCACAATACCACACCACAACACTACCAAGACAGATATGGGTAGAACTTTACTACACAGTTGGGGGTACCACACATAATACCACAACGTTACTCTCTATCAAGATACCACAATACAAGATATCTGGGTAGGACCTTGCCGCAAAGTCTGGGGCACCATAGTGTTGTACAACAATCTACACCACTACACTACCATACTATCATGGTACCACAATATCAGGACATCTAGCCAGGGAGCCTGACCTACAGTTGGAGGCATTGGATTACTGATCTTACTATTATGGTACCACGATATGAGGATATGGACCTAGCTGCACAGTCGGGGCAACACACTACCACAAAACCATGGTACATCAAGCAATCGGGTAAACACACCACCAAACCACACTATAATATGGACGTTTGGGGATGTATCCTGCAACACAGGAGGGGGGGGGGTATCATCATACACAATTCTACCAAACCACCATGGCGACACATATCAGTTTATCTTGGTTTAGACTTCACTTAAATGCTATCATTTGCTCCATATATTTTACCATATTTATACCAAACAATGCCAATATATTTCATCATCAACAAAATATCTAGTTTCCTTTATCAAACAATAATATTGAACAGAGAAAGAAATGTGTCAGGTTTTTGACAGTATTATCAAAAATACTTCTGACTCAGGGACTTTCTAGAATGATAACCTGCAACAGTAAAAAGATAACAATATAATACAAATGGATATAATTCTTGTAATTAGTTTAAGTAATTTTCTACATACAGTTTTTAACCCTGTTTTTACAGAATTCAAACTCTCACAGAATATATATTTTTTTTTTTCAAGCGTTAACCTGCAGCAGTAAAAATATTATACACGTAAAATATTAAAATAATAGTATTAAAATAGTAAAAATATTAAAAATGAACGTCAAAAGGTTATTCTACATTAAATGAACCTTTCATAGACTAATTACTGAAATGTACACTGACAAATTAACCACAAAGAAACTAAAAGAACAACTTACTGTAATAATAGCCTCTATTTTCGATACCAAAGTATCCAAAAGCATATAAGTTGTGAGATATAAATCTTGAAAATATCGTAGATTATGAGGTTTTTCTCTTTTTTTATTACTTTTACCTTAAAAATTTTCGTATTAACGAAAGTGTTTACAGGCTTAATACAAGGGGAACATTTTCAATTCCCTTCACAAGCAGATAACGGGAGCGCCTCAGTAACCTCATTGTGAGTAGGGCAATAAATTTCAGCATTTTCGTCACTCCAACGGTTCCTTAAAGTACAAGCTACCTTACACACAAACACTTTAGCTTAAGGGTTTTTGGTCGCAAATTTTCATGTCTGATTTTATGATGCTTTATCTTCACATGGTGCTAAATAGTCCAGTAAATAGAAACAAAAAAGGGGGGTTAACTTACAAACGGTCCGGTAAGTCTAAATTTTTTATATGTTGTCTAGGAAGGTAAGTAGGTGTTAAAACCGCAAAATGCACAATTCTACCCCCTCCGCGCCCGCCGCCATATTGAAAAATCGAAAAAATCGGTACTTTCTAGAGATTTTCGCCTATATCTCCGTTTTGGTGCATTTTAGCGAAAAATATGTAATTGCAATGTTGTAGACAATTAAATTTCCTATAATTTAAGTATAACAATTTGGTTCTAAGACTTATGGATACGAAAATATTTAAATTATTTTACAATAAAACGTAATTTCTTTTTGTTATTTTGCCAAATCCCTTTCTTTAGATATCTGCAATTCAGTAATGAAATATTCTAGGATAACAAGTATCCCAATCAAATGTATAGAGCATTTAATTACCTACAAAATGCTTCTATTCTTTAGGCCAACCGGTATTTGACCTTATTTTACAGTATTTGATCTTATTTTTTTTTTATAAATGAATCTTTAAAAATTTACTTGCTGTGTAGGTGGGTTGTTTTAAATTTAACACCTCCTCTCACCAGTGTATATTTGTAAGAGAAGAATATAGTACTTGCATAATGAGCATTGCACTGTTACATGTAGTAAGTACAGTAAGTAGGGTTTCATTAACTGAAAATTAAACCGAAAACTGAAAGTTAATTTGTTAATTTTCAGGTCACAAAAGCGAACAAATAGACCCATTCTTTTAGTTTGTTTTGTTCGTTTTTCAGCCTCACGACAAACACCTAACAGCACCAGATATCCATTGAATATTCAAAGTGGTTAAAATAATATGTCTAAAGATATCTAAATGTAATTAAATATATTTTTAAAATATCTTATCTAAGAAATCTGTAAAATATCTTTTAAAATATTTTATAGATATTTAATGGATATTAAAAGTTTCACAGATATTTATATAATGTTTAGATGCAATATCCTACAAATGTTGTACATATATTCAGTACTAGATATCTACGAACAGATATCCTGTAAATATCAATCCTACATTGACGATTGGATATTGATTATAAAGACGATAAATGCTGATAAGTGCATTATTGTTTCATCTAGAATATTTAAGGGCGTTTGGACGCGAGCAGACACTCACAGTTGAGATGCCGTAGTTCCCAGAGTCGCCACGCGGCGCGCTGGGGGCACCGTTCGGAGGCTGCTGGAACTGTGTGTGTTAGCTGGGGGTGGGATGGGTGGGTGGAAGGGGGGAGTAGGGACGGCCGCACCAACGCCACAACCACACCACACCACTCACCACTCACCAGTCACTAGTCCGTCCCTTGTACCTGAGTGCTCGCAACTACACAAGGCTCTCGCGGCACATGCAGCACCATTAGCCAAGCGAGATAAAAGTTAAAATTGGCAGCCAACGTAAACTCTGTATAGACATTTTTCCAATTGGTCATTATTTATATTATTAGTTTGAAGAACATGCATTATGGTTTTAAGTTAGGCCTATGTTCATTTTTAAAAGTAAATAAGATGTTCTCTCATTTATAACAATTAAACACTATAAGAATGAATGAAGGTGTTACTAAACATTGTAAGTGAATGCAGTAGTGAAAGCAGTAAATATTTTTTCATTGATGTTAAACATAACCAATGAGTTAAACCCAGAATAAACTACTGTATTTGCTAATGTTTGATTAAGGTTTACAATAAAATATAGTAAATTTAGAATTCACAAGGGAAATGTATTTCACCAAAAATAAACATTAAGATTGGTGATATTTTTTATAATGAAAACTTTAAAAAAGTCACAAACTTGAAGGCCTAATTAACTTTTTTTCGTTTTTCCTGGGCCATGATTATGTAGTCAGGGTCTCTAACTCTCATTTCCCTTGCAATTCTGCTGTCCGCAATTTCAGGCAACATGCAGTCCATGTAAAATCTTTTCAGTTTAGGAAGCATTACTTGACGCCATAACTCACTATCAATATAGATCCTTTCGATAAACAATTGTTTAATCGCCGTATACACAATCAGATCACACCACTTCCTCCCAGTCACATTTAGCTGTCCCTGAATTTGAAAAAAATAATTGTGCCTTTTCTTAAGACTAATTATTTCCTCCTTGTTTATTTCTAAGCAGAGGGTTTTCTTTTCTTTTACACATTCTACCAAAGGAGCCTTCACTGAAGGTAAACATTTCACCTCAACGAGTCCTTCGTCGCCAACTAATCCGTCCGGCGAAGCGCCCAAAAATGGATATGCGTTATCAATAAATAGGCCGCATTCTTTGACAACAACATTGTGCTCTTCCTCGTATTTAGATATGGCTTCTTTTTCATGGAGTCTTCCAAAAACAACTGCTGCACTGTTCAGGTTTTTGGGATATAGCAGGTTCTTGACCAGGTTGTGGCACGGTGTATGGTCTTTCCGTTTTACGATTTGCCCAAATTTCGAAGCAGTTAACCTATTTTTTCTTTTTTCCTCCCAAAGGCTGTTGTTGTGTTGTCCAATTGTATCCTGCTCAAGTTTTTCACTTTCTCTAGCATCCAGCTCCAGCAGTTCTAGAACACTTTTCTTTTTTATCTCTAGTTCCTCTTCAGACACATCTGGTTCCGTAGCACTCGGTCCGTAGTTCTTATCATAGGAGTTCATTTGGGATGATTTCCTTTTTTTTGGCTTCTCAACTGAGTACCTGAAACAGATTAAATATATATTTATAGCTACAGAATTATTAGACGTATACGTTAGTTTTTTTTTATTATTAATTACAACAAAGTTATATTGTCATAAATAGGGTACTATACAAGACAAATACTGGTTTTGTTTGCAATAAAATTTACTAGATAAAATTTTGTTGGTTTAACAAAGTATAATTTATTTTTAAAATGCTTTTGAATTGGTTATATTTGTATTCAATTGGAAATTGATGTTGCTCAATGAATTGTTGAAAAAATATATATTGCATGTTGAAAGTATTGGAAGATAATCGAACCTCGAACACATGAGATACATTTTACGTATATATTTTGAACATACCTTAATGCCCTTCTGGCACGTGTGCGTTCTCTAGCTAGGATCTTCCTCTTGAAATTCCCACCCGGGCTTCGGCCTTGAAACCTCTTCCAGGGACTGAGATGCCAACTGGGTCCTTTAGTATGGCTAAGGCCAGCGGCAAAACACCTGCGCTTGTATGAGCCTCTCGCGGTGAAATTAATCCTTTTGCCTCCGATAAACTTAGAGACCAACCCCATATATCGTTCCGCAGCATTGGTCGTTTCATTCAGTACTAAGGTCTCTGCTTTTCTTTCAAGTTTGTCGACCAGCTTCCTTATTTCTGTAATAAAGTCAGGGTCTAGTTTATTTAACATGTTTTCCTCTTCATCTGACTGATTAACACAATATGTTTGTCTGCAGACACTATGATCTCCAAACACATGGTTCGGAGCATTCTTCAAATCTTGCCTTAATAAGGCGATGTCCTGCAAACTTCTCGTGGGGCCAGCATGTTTGATTGCCGCTCTGACCCCTTTCACTAATCGCTCCAGCCGAGTGATTGTTTTCCCTTCAGGAACCGAGGTTAAAATCTTCCGCGATTCCAGAGGGAATTTCGTGTTTGTACATAATTTATGAAGACCGTCACTTAGACATCTTGTCATGTGATTGGCACATTCCACTTTCGTTACAAATCGCCCATATCTACACTTCTCTTGTATCCTGGCAAATACACTGCTATCGCCGTCTCCGATATAATGTTTATACACCAAACCATATTCAGCCTCACTTTGTCTAAATGCCTCTACAATTACATTGCTCTCCATGCCTGTTGATGGACCATTGTAATTTAAAAAACATTCATGAGGCGGCGTTTCTTTTTTAGCAGTTTTTGCTTTGGTGCATACATAACAAAATTTGTTTCTAACACCTAAAAACAATATTTTCTTTGTTTCGGCACCAATAACGATTCCCTGAAATATAAGGAAAATATTAGTTAACATTATACAAAGCAATAAACCCAAAACTCAGAATACAACAAGGTAGCCTACTGAAATGAAAATATAACAAGTATAATACAACCTCAGCAGTAGATTCTAAATTTAAATGAAATGCTTAGAAAATAAACTAGACGGAAGTTTGTAAAATGTAATTGTAATTTTTTTAAATTTAAAGTTACAAATTATGCAGTACTCTAGTTTTGGTTGTTATTTCAGCTTCAATTTTAAGAAAATGACAGTCAGTATATACTTCAAATCACCAATGTTTTTGGTTCTGGAAGTAACGTTCATCTCTGTGGTAAATTTCAAATTACAGTAGAGGTTTGACAACAGATTAAAATATCACTGTTAATATAACGTTTATACGTTCACTGGTTTTTGGCCTTTATCCAATTTATTTTTAGTTTGAATGGTTACCGACCGTTAAAGTGGCCCAAAATGGGTTTGAAAGTTTATGACAAACTTATAGGTGATAGAGATAGGAAATTGTTTATTTTTGTTTTGCAGTGTTAACATACCACGCCTGATGAAGAGTTCATCCCGTGTCCATATGACCGTTTGGCCCAACCGCCATCACCAATCACAGTAATGAACGGTACACCATTTAAATAGTTTCCCTTTTCTATAGCGATTTGCTTTTCCTGCTCAGCGTTTTCTTTCATTTTTTTGATCATTTCCTCTTCCCAAACCTACAAAATATAAAAGAAAACATTGAACAGTCAAGAACAGTAGCTAGTTAGACGTGGTATAACACCTGACATGGTATCAAGGACAAGGCATGGTATTATGTGTATCCATATATTGAAGCAATGAAACAGAACTGTTGCACATAGACAAATAAAAATTACTTTAATATAATGGATAAAACCCGGATATATTAAAACGGCTAGCATGAAGGTTATTGAAGGTAATATTATTCATTTATAAGCATAGAGAAATATAAATACATTTAAGTAGCCTGTACATATTAGCCTAACACATTTCTATTAGCTCTAATTACTGTAACCAAACGGCTCTTAATTTAATCAATTAAGTTATTGTATAGAAAGTAAACATTTTCCACAATAAGCAATAAAACAAAGATATGTAATATTAAAGTTTCATTACTTTTTAAAGACTTTTACTCACCTTTCCAATTTTATTTTCATGAGCCCTAAATTTCTTCGCCGACATTGCAGGTACATCTAATATACTCAATAATTCGGTTGCTTGAGAGTGGCCTATGCCTACCGATAGAGATCCCCAAACAAGAGCATCGTTTGCCTCATTTTTATTGGTATCAGGTTCACTGGTAACTGTAAATTCTTTATCACAGTTATCACAATGGTAAACAAACTTTGAAAAAAGGCCATTAACAATCTCACGATCCAGTCTATATCTACCCATTGTGCAATGTTTTCCATGATTGGCCACTATTTCGAGTTGAAACAAAATATGGTTGATGTCCACTAGCCTTCTGCCTGAGACAACGTTCGCCTCTTCAAGCTGCTCAAATGGCACGCGCTCAACTAAAAGTTCTGCTAAATCATCACATGTACTGCCGTCATCCCCGCTACGACTAGATGTGTCTATATCCATGTCTTCATCGACAGAGGTTGTTTGGCAATTCAATGGTGTGATTGGAGCGTTTTGAACCGACCTAAAAAATTAATACATAAATTAGCTAAATTTATTCTTATACTCATACGTTATTTATTGTTTGTTTCGACCTTGAGGTTGTCTCTACGACAATATGGGAAAGACTTTGTATTAGCTCAGTTTTTAAATAACCATATATACATATTACCATACCTATACAACTATGCCTATAGTTCACCGTACCAAACTGTACTATGTGTAACAAAGAAACGAGAACTTTAACATATAAAATTAAAACCGGACCCTGTTAGGTATTTATTCAGGGGAGGTATAGATGAGCTCACGATGACAGCTGTGGGCTTCTCATTAGCTGAGGGAACACCATTACCGTAACAATACGAATTGCAGCCATCGGCCTCGGTGGTTTAGTGGTTAGCGTGACAATAATACACGATATCAGCATTCCGACACATACTTTCTCCCATAAGGTTGTAAACAACCTTTATCATGGGTAAGCGGTGAGAGTAAATATGACATTTTATAGTAAAAAATCACAAAAGTCACAATAACTGTTAAACTGTACTTTTTACGGTAATGGGATTTGTACCATTTTGTTCAGAATGTAAAGGACTATTACGTACTTAATTAAAAAAACATTTTTCGGGTAAATTTCGAGAAAATCTGATTTCCCATTATTTTATGGAAAAAAAATCATTAAAATCACAATAAAAAATATAAAAAACATGTCTGGAAATACCATGAGCATACATAGCAATTTTCATCATAACCGGACTACATGTGTGGTCTGTGGCTCTGTACACATAAAGACACACATCAGACATCACTTCGAATACTGTACCACTTTTTTTGGGTTCAGGGGGACCCAAATAGAAATACACTGAAAACTTTGACGAAAACAATACTTTCTCCATACACTACATATACGGGGAAGATATTAAAAATGTAAATTTTCCAAATACGTAAAAAAACAACAATTAAATATGATTTAATTCAAATACAACTTACCTGGATGCCACAAGACGATCAAAAATTTCCTCGCTAGTTTCTTCGGAGAGATTTGAACTATTGTTAGTAGTGTTTACATCCTCGCCCTCGCGTTTCCGTTCATGGATTCTTCTAAGCACTTTCGAGCGTTTACTGCGTTTACGTGGTTTGTATTTACTATGCGGTTTTTTGGTTCCCATCGCACCTTAACAATACTAACAATAACCACAAACAAGAGAAACAAAATTTTATTTCCTTAGTCAATGCTATAACACAATCACAAAATATAACTACAAAATACAACACACGTGACCGGTGACAGGTTGGCAGCAGGTAGCTGAGAGTAGGTAGCGCGCGGGAACCAGGGTAGGCGCGGCCGGTGCGGGGGTTGAGGAGGGAGGGGCGTGCGCCCGCGCGCCGTGAGTGCGCGTATGAGCACTGTACACACTCACATCGCACGCCACGCTGGTTTTACGTTATTTCTGTTTTCTTTCCAGTTTCAAAACGCTTAAGAATTTTCCATTGGAGTATTTTTTTATACATTCTGTACATCATTGGCTTTGTTCTGATATGTGTCTTGTCTCGATTCATTTAAAAATAAACCAGTTATCGAATTTTCAAAAAAAGGTACTTTTTTATTTATAAACGATATGGGAAATAAAATGTTTTAGCTTGTAAAGAGATATTTTTTGGAATTTTTAAGACTAGTTTGGTGAATATAGTCGAAACCGTTTTTGAGCTGGAAAGCAAACGGAGTTAGCACTTCAAAGCCCCATAACTCTCTTATTAGGCCACTTAAAAATTTCAGGTGACATTTGTTCTTACCCTTATAATGACCCTAACAATTATACTTTAAAAAAAAAAATAAAAAAAAAATTTTTTATTTTTGATCGAACACCCTTAATATTACAGTCAATATCAATTAATATTACAAACATCCAACAAATCAACAAACACTAATGAAACCAAAACTTAATTAATTGTAGTTTTTATGTGGTTATTTTGGTAGTTTAATTACATTATATTGTCTCCGTTATTCTAATCCGTGCTACGCGTTAAAAAAATCAAATCATTTTAATCAGCCCAAAGTGGATAAAAAATTGCACTAGCGATGTTTACGAGAATGACTACACTTTTCCAAAGGGAGTGTTTCATTAAAGTCAAACTATTTCAGTCAGACAGAAGGAAAGAAATGTGCATTACGGCACGTAATATATAATAACACAAGTCTCGCACGACCCAAAGTTGTGAGAAACAAAAAAAACTGTTAAGCCATTCCGTAAAAACATTATACAATTGACTTTGAATGTATGATTAAAAACCTTTTTATAATAATAATACACCTGCTTATAATAATAATAATGCAAATATTTTCTTTTTAATAAAATTCTTCAACTTATTTGAGGAAATTATATGGGTTGATCAATTTAAGGGTAAATATTAATTAATCATATTACCATTATAATAACATTACTAATGGTAATTAATTAATCTATATTCAGATATTAGTATTCTCTCCAACTCCCAGAAAAACAATTAATTTAACAACTTGATGCCTAAACAGAATCATAGTATCAAAAATATTTAAGTATTGCGACCATTGCAGCTGTTGGCTCCTCTTTAACCGCTTGAAAACTAGTAATATTAACTATCACAGGTAGCTCAGAGGTAAGGTAAGAGGTTCATAAGATGAAGGTATCAGGTTCAAAACCTGTCCGGGTATAAACAATTTTGTCTAGTTTTTTTCTTTAAAAAAATGTTTTTATGTACTATTTAATGAAAATATTCAATTGATAAATGTGCTTTTCAGACTTAATCTTTATTATTTTGTGTTTTTATGTATTTATTATATACTAGCAGAGTACCCGTCCTTCGTACGGGGTTGGCACATAAGTATAAAATGCTTATTGCAGTTATACTCAAGCTTGGTGTTTGCAATAGGGGCTATTAACATTATACTATAGTGTTACACATCTACCTACCATAGCCATATTGTTCTAGTAATTCACCTAAAATATAGAGATAAATAAATTATCAAATTCGCAAATCATCACTAATTTTTTGGAAATTAAAAACATAAACATAACTGTAAACAATCCTACTTTGACAGTTCTCATTGCGTATCACAGTTTTTTGGTTTTCATAAATGCAAAAAAATAATAGTGCTGCACCCTGTTGGTAAATCTTATAACTTTTTAATGCTTTTCATACCATGGAACCACTTTTTAGTTGAAACAGCTGACTAAATTCTTTAATTCCCTTTAAATATGAATACTCATAAGGTTAACATGGGGAACTACAGAGCCACTGGGGCGGAGCCCGAAAGGATTTTTGGGATAAGAATATGCCTATATGTTAATTGGGAATGTGAGCTATCATCATGCCAAATTTCGGCCCAATCCATCCAGTAGTTAATGCGTGATTGAACTTCAAACAAACAAACAAACAAACAAACATACACACAAACTTTCACATTTATAATATTGGTAAGATATTTTGTGATCTTTCAGCAGATATCCGTATAATAATCAGTTTTAGAAGTTCTTAAGATATGGTAAATCTAATATCTGTTGAAAG